GCAGGAGGCAATTCAAGGAATAATTTCTGGCATGAAATGAAACTATTTAAATGTGGACTGGGATGTGAACAGTAAACTGGCATCTACCCTGCCCTTGTTTAAGCCACGTATGTGTGCAGTCAGAGGTTAAATGTGTCATCTAAGGCTTGAAACGTTGTCTCAAGGAGCATGGCAGGTTCTGGATTACAGGGCAGTGATAAGAAGCCTCGGAGGGTGTTTCATTTTTTCACCTCTCTCTTTTTCAGGTGGATCTTTCCGTCACTTCCTTTGGCAAGTTTGTAAAGAGTTACAGAGCTCCTCGCTCTCCCTTCTGCTGTTGTGCCCGAGCTCTGCAGTCAATAAGAATAAGGTGTGATATCTCAATGCAAGAAGTGAAGTTGCTTTTCTCTTTTTGAATGTGTGTATTTGACCAGGAGCAGAACACATTCCGTTAGCAATACAAAGAGAAGCTTCAGATCACCAGCCCCTGTTAGCACATCTAACCAGACAGGTCTCACCTGCCTGAGAGAACTGGAAGGGACTGTTGATGAATCCCCTGTTCTCTTCACGTGGTACTGCAGGTACTTGACCAAGTAGTCAAAACTGCAAAATGTAGCAGAATTAAGACTCCTCGACAAAGTTCAGTTGTCTGATTTGGAGATTGTCCATCCCAAACTAGGGAAGTCACGTTCTGCTGGTGTTACTCCAGGAATGTCACCAGGAAAGTCAGTTGCATTGCTGGTAGAGTACAACACTTCATCCGTGCTATTTAATGCATCATTAGCATCCTCCTATTTTGTGCACTAGATGTATTATAGAAAATAAAAAGCTTATTGCCCAAAGAATTTACAGTGGTTGAGGTTCAGTTCCTTCCTAGGAGCATTCCCAAGGTGGGAGAACAGCCCATTTCCTGTAAGACCAACTGTGCAGCAAACCTGGCTTTGGATATCCAGACTGGATTTCAGAAACCCCCACAGCTGAAAGGCTTAGATACCAAACTGGTGATAGAAACCCAGCAGAGTCCTGTGAGTGCTGATTAGCAGAGGGGGCTCTCGGGGAAACTCTCTTCATGGTATCGCTTTTGATCCTTTGGTAGCCAACAAACAGTGTTCATCATGTTCAAATCAGTGTTTTCACAAACCTGTTGGCCCGTGGCCCTGCAGGGTGTGGCAGTTGTTAAACGCTGGTTCCTGTGCTCTGTTCTCTATTTTTCCTGAAGGGGAAGTACATTTTGACGCCCAGCCCCGTGACCTACGCGGAGGAGCAGTTATTCCATTTCTTTGGGCAGCTCTTGGGTATTGCAATTCGAGCAGATGTTCCTCTGCCACTTGACCTCCTCCCCTCCTTCTGGAAGACCCTGGTAGGAGAACCACTGGATCCTGACATTGATCTCCAGGAAGCTGACATCCTCACCTACAACTATGTCAAGAAATTTGAAAATGTATGTAACTTTTTTTCTTTTCCCTCTTTTTTTTCTTTTTTTTTTCCCCAGGGTTTCCCACATGAGCGTGTTGTTTGTGGTGGTTGCACTGGGCTGGCACTGGGCTGGCAGCCAAACACAACTGCTCCCTCACTCCCCCAGAGGGGATAGGGGAGAGAACTGGGGGGCAAGGGGAAGGAGACTCGCAGGGTGAGAGAAGAACAGTTTAATAATGGAAATAAAACTTAACATAATACTGATACAGTAATAATAACAGTAATAAAATATGCAAATGAGTGATCCCCAGTGCCATTGCTCACCACCTGCTGACCAAGCCCGGCCCATAGGATATGGAACAGCCCCTTGGCAGAGCCCAATGCCCATGGAGCTGATCCATGTCAATATTCCTCACCCCTGAGATCTTGCGCTTGCAGACGGACAAACACAAAGTCCTTCAGTGCCAGGGACACAAATGCAACATGGGGATGTTCTCAGCGTTTCTCTCCTGACAAATCCCAGCTGAACCCAACCCCCAGCGCTGTTCCAGCTGCTGAACAGAACCAGCTCTGGCCCAGCTCACACCAGGACATTGTTCCAGCAGCAGCTCACTGTCCTGCCTGCCCTAAGTGGTCAGTTTCATGGCTGGCAGATGTTTTTCATGTGAGCCAGGTCGTGGAGTGTTTTGACTTAGGGGTGCATCCTGATGGCTTGGAAAAGCTGCTCAGTCTCCTCTGCTGCCAGGCACCGTGGAATTAAAGCTTCTGAAATGTTGACTGGAACTTGGTGGTGCTAAAGCAGAAAAGAACCCACCAAAGCAGTCACTGGCTTTCAGTGTCCGTGATGTCTCCTGATGACAGAGCGAGTGCACGTTGTACACTGTGCTGACACCTTAAATGAGTCACAGGAGGAACATATTCCTGTGTTTTGTGACAGATAAATGATGAGACAGAACTGGAAGCCCTCTGTGCAGAAATTGCTTCTCAGCATCTAGCAACAGAGAGCCCCGACTGTCCGAACAAGCCATGCTGCAAATTCACCTACCTGACCATGACAGGGGAAGAAGTGGAGCTTTGTCCCAGGGGCAGGCACATTCCCGTGGGGTGAGTAACAGCTTTCCTGGCAGCATGCTGCTCTGGGTTCCATGGGAAAGAAGCATCTCTGGAATAGTTTTCCAAGCACCAGGCTCACCAGAGATGCCCCAGTAACAGCTAAAGGCTGGAACGATCTGGGAAAGCCATTTGCTGGCAGGAACCTGGAATCTGTAGTGCCATTTACTGCCTTTAGTTCTGTAAGAAGCAGAGCTGAGGAGCCGTGCTCAGTGCTCAGCAGCTGCTTGGTGGCTTCAGTGAACACCCGCAGTTAGGAGGCTTCTGAGACACGGGCCAGCGTGAGGGAAGAGGAGGAACCTGAGGGAAGGGGAATTAGACTGGGAAGCACCATAGAATCATCATAGAATCTCAGACTGGTTTGGGTTGGAAGGGCCCTTAAGGTTCATCCAGTTCCACCCCCCCTGCCATCAGCAGGGACACCTTCCACTAGACCAGGTTGCTCAAAGCCTCATCCAGCCTGGCCTTCAACACTTCCAGGGAGGAGCAGTCACAGCTTCTCTGGGCAACCTGGACAATCACAATGCAAATAGCTCAGTGCTCACTCTTGATTATTCTAAAGCGCAGCCTCTCCATAAAACCCTCCTGTATGTAACGGTCTGGGGTAGGGCAGGGGCTTCTCACCCACCCTCCTCTCCCGTCCTCAATCTCTGCCCCTGCAGGTGGGAGAACAAGGACGTGTACGCGGCAGCGATCCGGAGCCTGAGGATGCGGGAGCTGCAGACTCCGGAGTGCATGACGGCCGTGCGCGCCGGGCTGGGCTCCATCATTCCCCTGCAGCTCCTGACCACGCTGACCCCTCTGGAGATGGAGCTGAGGACGTGTGGGCTTCCCTACATTAACCTGGAGTTTCTGAAGGTGTGGAGAGCAAAACTGCAGCTTCTTTGGCAAAACTGAAGCTGTCTGACACAGGGAGGAGAGGATCCTCCTGTGGGGAAGGGGTTAGGGGAGAACCTTCTCCCTGTGGTGTAGACAGGACAGTCCTTATGGCCCAGACACTCCTCTCTGACCCCAAGGAAGTTTCTTAAGATCTCACTGGATTCAGGAAATAATAGTAGTGGGGCTTGCTCCAGAGAGGACCAAGGAATTTACTTTTCAACATCAAATTTTAAATTTATCTCCATTTTATTGAGCTTTATTCAATATTTGCCACTTGAGCTAAGAGCTGAAAGAGCCATTGCCCCTGTTTTGCATTTCAAATAATTTCTGAAAATCTAAAATGAATCTGTAACAGACAACTCCTGGGCCTAAAAACTTCCATTTTGTTACCCATAAGAAAAACACCACAGAAAGGCCTGTTCTCTGTGTCAGAACTCACAGAAATGCTCAGCCACGGGTGTTGGCGTTGCTTTGTGTTTCCCTTAAACAGCAGCTGATGCTGAGCTGCCCCAGCCCTGCAGGATAAACAAACCCACAGGGAAACGCGCTGAGACACGCCCGTCACAGAATCTGAGGGGCCAAAAAGATACAAAACCCTGTAAATTATCACTCCACCACTCTAGGCTGAATTTCCTAATGATTTTGAGAAGGCAGAACTCGGGCAGGGGGGTGTCGTTTCCCTCCCCTCTGTCCTCTCGGTGCTCGGGGGGGAAGATCTCCGCAGGGAGAAGCGAGCGGCAGTGACTCTGTGCTCTCTCTCCTCTCAGGCTCACACCATGTACCAGGTGGGCTTGATGGAAACGGATCAGCACATCGAGTTTTTCTGGAGCGCCTTAGAGATGTTCACTCAGGAGGAGCTCTGCAAGTTCATAAAGTTCGCCTGTAACCAGGAACGGATCCCCTTCACCTGCCCTTGCAAGGACGGAGGCCCCGACACCGCCCACGTCCCGCCCTACCCCATGAAAATCGCTCCCCCGGACGGAGCCGCAGGTGCGTTTGTCCTCCGTCTCCTGGGACAATCGGTTCTGTGCTGTCGCGGTTCTACCTTTCAGGTCCCCTTTTTTTAATTTAAATGTGTATTTAATGTACAAGGAATGGTGAAAGAGAGGTGGGTCGTTATAGAATCATAGAATCATAGAATGGTTTGGGTTGGAAGGGACCTTAAAGCTCCTCCAGTTCCAACCCCCCTGCCATCAGCAGGGACACCTTCCACTAGACCAGGTTGCTCAAAGCCTCATCCAGCCTGGCCTTCAACACTTCCAGGGAGGAGCAGCCACAGCTTTTATAGCTGTAAATGAGAGAGAGAAATTACTTTTAAACCATGTAAAAATAAAATTTAAAATAAAGTTTAACTACTTAAAGCATCTCCCTCTAGAGACAGGGAGAGATTTTGTGTAGTACTGGCCTCACGCGCTTTTAAAACCACTGGGCTGTCAGAAAAACATCATCCTGAGGCCGAGGGGAGCAGCGTTTGTGTTCAAGTGACACGTTATGGGCAGGAATGGGATGATTTTGCTACTTGTTAGTGAGGAGTGCAGGGGAGGGACGCTTGGGAAACGAGGGTGAAAAGCGGCGGGCCCGTTCAAACCCTTCCTGGCGCTTCTTCCCCCGCAGGTTCTCCAGACTCTCGGTACATCCGTGTGGAAACGTGCATGTTTATGATCAAACTTCCCCAGTACTCCTCACTGGACATCATGCTGGAAAAGCTCCGATACGCCATCCACTACCGGGAGGATCCGCTCAGCGGCTGAGCGGGAGCAGGGGACGCCCAGAGGTGACTGTCCGGACCGTCCTGTGACGCTGCTGACGTCGGAAGCCCCGCAGCTCCCACCCAGACGCCTCCTGGAACACTCTGTGACCAGCTGGAGGTTAATTTATTTTCTGAACTTTCTGTTCCCGTTACGATAATTACTGGAAGACTCACATTTTGTATTTGTAGACTTTGTGGTGGACTGGTTATTTTGCTGCCTTGTTTGTGGAATATTTGTAGGATAGTTTAGTAAAGACCAGTTTGTGTATAATTTAATTTTGGAGAAACCTTTAAACATGTACATTTCTAATTTTGTAATTTAGAATGGTATTACCCAGGCAAACACAACACAGGCGAGGGTGTTCTGAGTTGGGGAGCACTGGGAGGTGAAGGCTCGTAGATCGCTCTCCCGTGGAACATTTTTGAGTACAAAAATGGAAAGATTAGGGTGCGGGGAGGGAATCGCCGCTGGGCGCCGGCAGGAGCGGAGCACGGTTCCTCTTCCCTCGCAGGCAGAGAACGTGCAGGATTTCTAGCACTTGCTTGAGTTTTAGAGCAGAAAATCAGCTGCCAAACTGCATGTTTGTGTTTCCACCATTTCCTTGTAACTTTTTAAACTGTTAAGCAAGCACAGAGGTGGCAGCCAGGTTCCGTTTGGGGTTTCAGGTGGACACTTTTGATGAGGGAGATTGATAATTGAAAGAACAGTGAAAGGGCCACAGTTCAGGTGGGTTCTTGCCCTCGATGTTCTTGAATGGCTGCTTTGCTTAGTAACAAAATAACTTATTGTAATTAAAATATGAGCAGGAACGAAATGGCTTCTCTGGGTGTGGTGTGAGATACCACAGTTCAAGCCTCTAATCTGTGACTTTATCCGATTTCCGAACAAGCTTTCACAATAATCAGCGTGTGGTTCGACACCTGTAACTCATTTTTGTACTCAAAACCGATCTTGGAGCCGAGAGCAAATTATTCTCTACGAGTCTGACACCCAAAGGGAGGATGAGGTGAGGGGGGGAGGCACAGCGTTGTGTGTTTGAAGATAAATCTGTTTTCTGTGGGAAGATAACGGCTGACTGCGGAGAGAGAACAATTCTCCAGGTTTCACTTTAGTGTGATGTGAGCCACGTTCTGGGGCGGCTTCCGAAGGACACGGCGAGGCCGTTACCTCCCTTTGCTCCTCTACGAGCAGAGGGGGCGATTTAAAAGTATGTTCATTGATCACTTAAAACCCGACACCCGCGTGCTGAAGAACCGGAGAGAACGTCCCCAGGTCCTGCTGTGCTGTCGGCTCGGTGCTCAACGTCAGTGAAGTGCCAGCACTGAGCCACCAGCTCCTTCTTCTTCCTTCCGCTGCGCTCGGCGCGCGTCAGCCCCGCGACAGGTCGGCGATGGTGTCTGTGTGTCACTGTATTTCAGGTTGGTGTTCTCTGTGTCTCTTTAGAAGACGGCGTTCACTCGTTTGGCTTGTCCGTGGTAATGGGAGTTGAAAAAAAAAGCTGTATTTATTGTATATTCTTGTGAATATTGGGAATGATGAGTGTGTGGTACTTGGAAGATAAAATGTGAGTAAGAGAGAAAAAGGTTCAACACGTGTGTATATTCTTGTTCTGTGAGCGAATGGAAACGCGGCTGCGGCAGTTTAGAGGGAGTTGTTGGCATTACGGTCTCCCGCTCCCGTGGTCAGGAAAGCCGCCGCGTCCCCTTCCGTTGCTTATCGAACAGATCCGCGTAGGAAGAATATTTACTCTTGAATCTTGTCCATTTCCTGGTAGAAGCATAAATGTAGCTGAGAAATGACTTGGAGAAGCGCACACACACCTGGAGCTTACAAAGACCGAGGGGAAAACTGAGCAGGAGGAAGGGCTCGGAGCTGGGCTGTTCCCAAACGGATGCCACCAGGAACCCTGAAGAACGTCGGTGGAATCTCACGGCAGAGCGGTGATGCCGCTGGACTGGGGGGTGTATTTGGGTTGAAATCGCCCGTTTCAAGCTCTTCTTGCTTTGAGTGGCCTCGCAGGGCGGTCGCGTCCCTCACCCGCGGGTGTTCGAGAGCTCGGTGTGCCGGTGTTTTTCCAAGGCTTTGATGAGAGCTGTGAGTAAGAAACTGCTGCTAATGTCTGTCTTCTCCTTCCAGAGAGCACATCGGAGTGGAACAAATCTGCATCTTGGCCCTGAAAAGCGTGCTGTAAAGTTACTTGATACATATTTATTACCATTAATTATTTATGATTACAAATAACAAACTTTTAGTCGATGCTGTTTACACCTCGCTGTGTAAATGAAGCTTCTTCTACAGGAAAAATGTCACACTGATAAATAACCTTCATGGACTCTTTGGCTGAAGCCCGGCAGGAGCCCTGCAGAGAAGGAGCTGTGCTGGGGGATTTTTGGCTTTTTTCCTTTTTTTTTATGTTATCAGGAGGGAAGTGCTGCAGGGGTTTGACTGTAGCTCAAATGGCCTTTTAATTAAAGCTTTTCTAATCATCATTACTTCCTTGTGCTTTAAACGAACCTGACGGTCTGTAACAGGCTTGTTTGTCAAAGCAAAGATTGGTTTGTGATTTATTTTAATTTTATTTTTTAATATATATTAATTCAGAATGTAAAATTATACTAAACAATGGAAAAAAAAAAACCAACCCCTCTGGAGCTGGGTGTTAGTTCTAACTCGGTGTGTGTCCCCCTCGGTTCCGTACACAGCGTTACCCTGTTAAGTGCTCTTGGCCATACGGTGTACACTTGCATAAAGGAGATTCTTACCATCCCTCGAGCCGTATCGTGTCCTTCTTTGGGGCTGGAAATGAGTGAAAAAAGTTCCTCCACTGCTGAGGCTGCATCGCCACAGAGGGTCAGAACTGCTGGCGGTGACGCTGCGGGTGATCTGCTTCTAATAAATACAAATTAGTAACTTCTGCTGAAGTTACTTGGAACACAACTGTAAATATTTAGTCCAGAGGGAAAGCGAGCGCAGGGATTGCTCAGGGTTCTCTTCCCAGAGCGCAGGTGAGGACGGACACAGGCTGAGCCACGTTCTCAGCCCTGGCCTTCGTTATTTCTCAGACTTAACGAGGTCTGAACAAGTCATCCTGCTGCCCAGCCCCACCCAGCAGTGCCAGCTCCCCTCCCCTCGCAGCTGTCCCCAGAAGGGACCCCCAGGTTGGTCACCACCTGTTTTTAAAGACCTTTATTCTGCTTTTCTTGTCTAAATAAATGGTGACGTTGGGTGGAAGTGTCTGTAAAAATGTCTTTATTGTAGAATCCAGATCACTTCAGCCAGCAGTAGCTGCAGCCTGGGCGATGGTGCTGGCAGCAGAGCCAGCCCTGCCCTGGAATGGTGACTGGTTAATTAGCCCTGCTAATGCCATCTGCTGTACCCAGTTAATTAGGCTGATACCCACAGTCATTATCTAAGACCTGCCTGTTCCAGCTTTTGCATGACTGATTACCTGACACACAAGGATGCCACCAGCTCTGGTAAAGCAAATTAACACAGGTACTAAGAGTGGGACACCAATTAACAGAGCAGCTCCCTGGCCCGCATGAGCCATGGGGCGATGAACAGCGTTTGTGGTCCCACAGCCCTTCAGGTGATCGATTTTTTACTGCACAAGGGGTTGGGACACCATTAGATCAGTTTTATTACAAGGGAGTTAAAAAGCAGGAACTAATACAGCACGAAAACGCAGTTACAGGACAGTCCTGGGCTCAGGGCTTCTCCACTGACTGACCATCCTCCTCTCCGCGTCCGGGGACTGTCTGGTACCAACCTGTGCAGCACAGACCCCTCGGGCCCCCCGAGGCACACGGAGACACGGTCAGACACACCCTGGAGCCTTCGGAAGAGGCTGAGCTGTGAGAGCTCCCGTCCTGCCCCAGGTGTTGGACGAGGGACAGAGCTGCCCAGACGAGGGACAGAGCTGCCCAGAGCTGCCCCTGCACGGAGCCTGTTCTCCAGTGGACTCAGGGAAGCTCCCAAACCCTCCTCTTCCCTAGTAGAGATCACAGAAGTAAAAACTTCTACTATACTCTCACAAATTAAAAATACAGATACATATATATATATATAAAATCATCACTGCTTATAAAAACGTAAACTCAGAGAAGCGCTTCAGTTAGGCGGCAACAGCGGGAGGTACTTGCACTCAGATAAAGGACTGGGGTGCAGAGTCATTGCACCGGAGTGATGAACAGCTCACTTCTCCTCAGGATAATCACACGCCGGGCTCTGGGCTTTTGCCTAAAGGGAAGGGGGCAAAAAAAAAAAAGTAAAAATGCTGTTTTCAAGAGTACTTGATCACAAGCAATTGATAAAAAGCTGAGGGAAGCAGGAAGGGCTGTAAAAGCAGCTCATTGTCCTGGCAAACCCTTCACCACGGGCGGGGCAGGGCCAGGCGCTCTCCTCCCTGCACTGGAGGCCGATGGCAGAGCCAAGCCCGGCTCCCGCTCTGCGCCGGCTGCTTTACCTTTGTGCTCCTGCGCCTGCAGCCGACGGGAACATCCGACAGCCCCAGGCTCCTTCCTCCTCCAACGCTGGCACTGTAGAAGAAGAACAGGGACACATACAAAGTCCACCACTTTCCGTGCTCTTACTGCTGAATAACCAGGTCCCTCACACCAGGGAGACTTTGGAAGGTCCAGGAGAAGCCCCTGATCCTGCTCCTGAACCTCAACCCAGTTCTTGTAGCAGAAGAACCAGATCTCACCCAACTGCCTTCAGCCATTTCAATACACACACTGCACTGCAGGGAAGAAACCCAAGAGCTGGTTCAGGCTCGAGGTGACACAAGCTGAATGACACAGCAAAGCAAGTAGGTGAGGAGCCAGAAAGGCATCACACTAAAATTTTGGGATTTCATTTTAAGATTATGAACACTTGGGTTTTGAAAAAAATCAAAGAGAAAAGCCAGGCTGAGAGCACCAGCAGGCAGAGAACGAGGCTCCCAGGGAGCACTTGGCCAGGACTGACACAAAAGCCCGAGTTTGCTGTTTGAAATCAGACAAGCAGCAGCCAAAGGAAGTGGAGTGAAACCCTTTCAGCCACAGGCAGCTACCAGGGAATCCAGATTTACACCATAAGGAAACGAGGCCAAGGACTGGAGTGGGTTTATCACTGCTGCTGCTGTTGGGTTGCTGCCATCTGAAGATCAGAACACACCAGGCCTCGGGCTGCGCCCTCGCTTGGAGCAGAGCAAAACTTGCCCCTACGGTGCCTCCGATCCCTCACCCTTCAGGGCAGACCCAGCGTGGCTGCGGGAAACAGAAGAGAAAGGCGTTTACCTTGTTTGGGCTGGAGAAGCTCTTGAGAAGCTGGATGTGAAGGTTTCTGAATGGAAGTTCTGAGCAGGTCTCACACGTGGCCTTGTCCCACCTGCAGATTCACTGGCACCTCTGTTCTTTGGTCTTCCCTCACCGCCAGCCGCCTTCCTGGGCTTCCCTCTCGCGTCGGGAGCATCACGAGCTCGCGCTGAAGAGGACAACGGTGCATTCCTGGTGTCTGCCATATTGCTCAGTGACTTGGTCCCTCGTGCAGGATGGCTGAGCTTCTGCTGCCCAAAGCCTTCTGTGCAGTGAGGAGAAACATCTCCTGAGAGGGCAAGAATACAGCGCTTAACAGGAACAGCAAATGCAGCACGAGACATTAGAGACCATTCAGATACCAAAACTAGACCCAATTTCCATTTCAGCAGCTTCATAATCAAGAGCTTTGAGGATACTGAGTTCATTCAGCTGCTAAACCCACCACACTGCATAAAGCTGGACCAACGGCCAGGGCCTGAAGACTTTAAATTTTAGAGACAGAACAGGGTAACAACATCTCTTCACCCTGGAACACACACAGTGTTTCTGCAAACAGAAAGGAACAGAGTGTGTTGGTCTGTGTTTTGCCCACACCTTGATGCCTGATTCGTCTCCAAACCACCTCTGGGGCTTCTCTTCTCTCTCTGGTGGCTTGAGGAGCCGGCGGCTGCGGACACAGAAGGCTGTCTGCTGGGCTGGCCGGGCGCAGGTCACAATGGTGCTACAGGAAACCACACATTGGAGTGTTTAAATGACAGCTCGTTCAGACCTGCTCCTGTCAAAACACTGCAGAGCATCACCCTGCAAAGGTTCAGGTCAGCAGTGACCTGTGCGTAGGAAGAGGCAGATACTGCTTGTGGTGGTGGCACTGGGCTGGTCCTGGGCTGCAGCCAAACCCAGCCGCTCGCTCACTGCCCACCCAGGGGACAGGGGAGAGAATTGGGGGGCAAGGGGAAGGAGACTCATAGGGTGAGAGATACCAGGAATACTACATGGAACACAAAACTAAGTACAGGGTGTCCTTTCTGCGGTTTGCAAACAAACTACATTGTGGCAACTCAGCTCCAGTCACTAATTCTTAACAAGTCTTGATTATCGTACACAAACGTCACCAAAAATAATAAAGCACCTTTTTTTTTCCCCTCCCCATCTAACTCTTTCAGAAGAACAGAATGCAAAACAGTCTTTCAACAGGTAACTGCAATGGGAAGTGATAAGCACTTCTTCGTGTCAAGCATTACTATTTAGCAAAGGAAAAGCTGTGAGATTTTATCACTTCTATGAACACTGGATTTACTATTATCAAGGAGAAGAAAGGCCCAGAAAAACAAACACACCAAAATACAGCTTCACTGGTCTGGTAGGACTGTAGGAACTGTAACTTCCCAGTTCCTTCAGCTGTGAAACAGAAAATGAGCAGGTTCAGCATTTTCATAACTCGTCTGTAAGAGCAGAAATTCCCGAGGACTGTGTCTCCCACGTGCACACCCCTCCCCAGAGCTGCTCTCTGGGTGCAGAGAAGCATCAAAGCACCAAGTGCTCTAGTTGGTGTCTGTCCAGCATTCCTGAAAAGCACAAACAGCTCCAGCAGCACCAAGACCTGGTTCTTCCCACATCGGACATACAGAAGAATGGGAGCACCCCAGCAAGCGCCCTGCAGCGCCCAGCACTTCATGAACCCACCACTTCTCACTTGGCCGAGCTTTGGACGGGTTCACACTCTCACCCTCTCTCTCTTCCCTGACATCTACCCCTCAGACATTCCACCATCCCCGAGATTTGTAGTCTGTGTTGTCTACGTCCTCTCTTCCCTTTTACACACCCCATAGGCTTGTGCTCCCCTCCCGCCCTCGCTGTGATTCACGCATCCTGGTTTCAACAGGACTTTTACGTACAAGTCACACATTTATATTGAGCAATTTCAGGGCCTTTTGTTTAGTTTTTATTACAAGAGCTTTAAAATAACTGCTATTTTTCAGTAAGAGCTTCAGCATACCACGACATTTTAGATGGGACCCAGGAGGGTGTGTTTGGGAAGATCTGACACAGGGGACAGTCACCTGGATTCCTGACAAGCGCCACAACAAGAGGCCACAGGACTTGGTATAGCTGTTAACTGGACGTGACACAACAGATCAAGTTCTGTTTAGTACCTGATGATGAAAGACTGTCTCCTCTTCTAGTTGGATGCCACAAAATTCACATGGAATCATAATGTTTTCTTCTGCCCAGACAGTTTGGAGCTGGGATGAAGAGAGAGACCTACAGCCTTTGGACCCAGCATCTCGCAGACCATCATATATTCGTGGATTTGGAGAAGACCTTCTTTTACTGAACGAAGCAAAGGCACTTGCTGGGTTACACCCCGTCTGTTATACAAGCAACATGGAAAAATTAGCTCTCCTGTTGAGCAGAGATGGACTTTAAAAGCCATGCTCTGCAAAGACCAGATCGCTAGAGTTCTCACAGTACCACTGAGGGATGAGCACACCCTCGTACAGTCACAGTAACAGAAAAATAGTCTGTCCTGCAAACCCCGAGATACAATACAAGAAAGTACTAAACCTGGTGAAGAATCAGATCTTCCTCCGGGAAGAGCTCCTCACAAAATTCACACGGCAACATGATGATCTCATTGTCTGCAAAGTAAGTAACAGTCACATCCTCCACCACAGAGGAGCCTGATGCAGGTGGATCAACATCTTCAAAATCCCTGAGCAACAGACCCCTGTTCTGTGCCACGGGGCAGCAACCAGAGCACAGGGAACACTTACTCTAGTCCCACTTGCTGAATTTCACACAAGCAAATTCTCATCACCCAGAGCAAGAACAATGTTTTGGGGTCAAAGATTTAACAAATGATCTGGTAAAAAAAAGCTTATTAATGCCTTCAATAAATCCTGTAGTACCGTTTCTCCTTTCACAATAAGCTGGCACCAGGTCTCCCCCACATCCTCCCTTCCCATCATGTTTACTTCAACAAGAAAGTTGTCCCCTACTTAGTTGTTATGAAGCTCCCACCACATATCAAGGTCAGAGATTCACTGTAGCTTTTATTTCTTCTTCCCTTGCTGTCTTGCTTTAGTAACACCCCTTTGAAAGAAACTTCTTTAAACACAAATATTGCTAAGTTCTGAGGGAGCAGAAGATATATTTTAAGAATCGAAGGAAGGAAGGTACTCATGGAAAGTCTGATCTCCTGTGTATTAATTATCTAAAAATGATTTAGAGGGAGCCTCAAAGAGACTCATTTTGACATTTTAAAACACCTAGATAATCTCTGACATTCCCAGTCCAAGGATCCTCTCTTTCCTCCTCCTTCCCCTCAAACTTTAAGGAGAAAAAAACCTCACCACAACAGCATTTCTGTTACTTTTAATCTGGTTTCTGGCATTTCTACTTACTTTTATTCTGGTTTGACGTGCTAAAAGACACTGAAGAGTCACAGGAGAAGATGTTGGACTTGTCTGGTTCATTGAGACAGGCCGATGGCGCAGAATCTTTGGTGTAATAGTTTTCCCAGAAGTCGCTGGGAATTTCAGCTGCAGCATTATTGTGAGGATGAGTCTCATTTTGTAGGCTAAGAGCCAACACGTAGTCGAAATCGGGGTTCCACTCTTCGTAAAGTGAAGAATGAGTGTTTTCATGTCTCTCCAACTGCTCCAGTTCATCCTCTTCAAAAGATAAACATCACAAATGTGAGAGAATGTTAAATCTGCGACAAGCAGTTCCCTTCTGTGAACTGGACAAGCTCAACCATGAGGGTTTCACACGTGCAAGCTCATGGAGGTCAGCATTTCAAAGCTAAGAAGGACACCTCTATCAGATTTAGAAGGACGAAGGAAAACAGTCATCCTATTTTTGTTTGTAACAAGCAAAAAAAGGAGAAAAATAAGAAAGTCATTCCTCTTACTCCAAAAGCTTAAACTTAAGCTTTTGAGAGCTTTATGAAGTCACTGAGAAACCTTCTGTAACCTACACTGTGAATAAGATCCAATTAATATACTGTACTCTCGTCCCTTTTACAAGGTTGAAGCACTTCAGCTTGCTTTCTTCAGTAGATTGATGGGAAAACAAATTCCTTTTAATGACAGCACATTTTCCAATAGTGGGGGCATTATACATGGGCAGAAGAAAACCATGAGATCTTTTCTGGTAGAGAAGCTACAGGATGTTACTGCAGAAATGTGCAGCACTACCTATGGGAACCCACATCCAGATCTTACCTACCCTCCTACTTTACTGAAGAAAAGGGGAATGCAGCTGCTAAACAAAAAAGGACAGAATTTGCAGGGAGCAAACAACTCCAATTTCATTTTTACTCTGAGACAAAAAACCAGGCAATGGACTTTCACAGCAGGTACCTCAGCAGTCCTCTATTCAGCTGGTTGGTACCTTTGCAGCCCTGTTCCAGGGTAAAACAGTCCCACTCGCGGTGCCTTTGGAGCTTTCATTATTCAGTATTTTCACAGAAAGCAATTACAAAACCTTACACTTGGATCAGCTGCCAAATGTCAAACTAGAAGCCAATTATTACTCTCCTCTACACCTTACCTCGCTTTTGATTTCTTTGTACTGCTGGAACATTTCTTCTGCTAACGTCCTAGGCGTTGTGTCTCCTACACAGCTGCTATAAATCAGCTTTTTGAGCACCCCAGGCATTCTCCACAAAGCATAATTACCTGATCTGAGTTGGTTTCTGATGTCTCGAAGGGCATGCAAATCTGCATCCTCATCCTCAAAGCAAGGCACTGCTCTGCTTCCTCTGGCTTGTTTCACCTCTTGCCCACAGACTGGAGGATGCTCTTTCAGATCTCTCACCATGATGTTACGACCGCACCCACCACATCTCTCAGTCCTGGCTCCGCAGTACGCCTCATGGTCCTGGAGCTTGTTGAAGGCGAGCTGGATGTCACAGTACTGGCAGAGGGCAGGACGCAGGGGGCACGCTGACACCTGGAAAAAAGCAAAAGGGATTATTCTTCACATGTGGGAGACTGAGGCAAAGGTGGAGAGAGGTTCTCAGTTTGCCTAAGAGTTGAGTGGTCTATTGTTTCTTTAGCCAGATCCAAAGCTACAGTAAAGAACAGCCTGAAATAAGATACTATGTGAGAAATATAAGAACAACCTGTTGTATCGGCTGTGTCGTCATAAATGTGCCAGTTGGGGGGGGGTTGGACTGGATGCTCTTTCGAGGTCCCTTCCAATCCCTGACATTCTGTGACTCTGTGATAACTGAAGCACTCCAAATACTCAGAACATTCCTTTTGAATCTGTAACTCTTGGACAGCAGATTCACATAGTGCTTTTTCCAAGTTAGCTTTTACATACAGTCTTGACATCCAGTACTAATCACATTTCATTGAGTACTCCTAAAAAACATGTCACTGTGTGTTATATTATGGAACAGATTTACAGCGCACTCACTACTCCAGAAGAATTGCTTGCATATGTTCTTTACCCTGCACTGAAAAACAGGTAAGCTGCCCTTCAAAAGGGCGTAAACATTGATGAAAATAGATGTTATAGCTCCAGGTGCTGCAATAATACATCCTTGTTTGTTTGATAAACCAAACTAAAAGCACTACACACAAATGTGCAGGATAAACTACTTCCAGTGTTTTGAACTGGACATATCTTCAAAGAAAATCGTTTTTCCTCACCAACAAGCAGACTTGTGTGGCACTTCCAGAGCTGTTTTGAAATGAGCCCAGAGGAAGGGAAGGTACTGACATTTATAACAAGATTGCCTGTGACAGCAGCCAACTGGATTCAGAAATTCAGAAAATCCCACTGTGTCCTATTTTAGCTTATTTTACAAGCTATTTTAAAAGCCTGTTTGGACACAATGAGTTATCAAAACTCATGTAATGACTGCAGCAGAGTCAGAAATGCGTCATGTCCATTTCTACTTTTGGAAAAAAACATACCATTCCTCATCTTCAGCACTACTAAGGACAATTATCACCAACCACCACAGATCCCCCTTTGATATGAAGGGGATACGCTTGGAAATACCACACAGCACCTTCCAAGTGTCTAATAATATAAAGTCCACCAACCTCATGATCCTTCAAGAGATTTTTTTCTATCTTCATCTGACACTTGCAGGTAACCTACAAGAAACAGACCCCGTTAGATTAATTGCCATAGAAGCCAGCAATTTTAGAGGAGAAATTTGTTTCTCACCTGTACATGTTCAGACTCAATATGGTTCTTCATCTCAGACTTTGGGATCGATTCACCGCAGCAGCGACACACTTCAATGTTTCTGCTACAGTGGATCTCATGCATGACGAAATTAGCAACAGGAATATCCCTTTTGCTGTCAGAAAGTCACAGAGGTTACTTTGCAGGAAAAAAAAACCACTCACAACAATTTCAAGCAGGTTTTTTTTAAATAAGAAATCCTAAGAAAGCATTCTATGAAATCATGGTTTAGAGAACTGAGTAACTAAAGAAAAAGGCAAGCCCAGCCAGGCCTCCATCTTCCTTTATAGTTGGGATATTAATGTATATAGAATGCAAAGGTCACGGTTTTCACGCTGCATTAAGATAAAATCAAGGTGGATTTATTTTCTCACGTGAAAGACAAATTTTGCAGTATAAAAGTTATCACCAGGTTCAAGTTAATAAACTAATCTGAGAAGATAAAAGTTTCTTCCTGAAAATAAGTTGGCCACGAGAGGTCAAACAGTGCTCTGCTTGGAAAAATAAATAACAGATCCTGTGAGGCCAGCTCTGTTCAGGGAATGACAGCAGTAACCATAGTACTCTGCAGCCAAAATTCCCCAAGTCATCTCATTTCTGAGATTCATTTTCCTATCTGGAGGAGGATACAAGGCTTACAAACATGATAGGTCCAAAAAGAACTGAGGCACTAGGAGCTCAGCCTTTATTCCTGCCTGAAGCAGGTAGATGGATGTCATCATTTCCCCTCCTGCACACAAGAAATCAACCTTCAAAACACCAAACTTAACTTTATAACCTATGGCTTAGTGCCTTCCCTGTCACAAAGGAAAAACACTACGGCTGTCTTCTCCCTTGCCAGATCCCAAGCAGACAACAGCCTGGCAAAGCAGCAAAGTCCAACAGCAATGTCTAAACTGCTTATACTCAATACTTGCAAACAAGCAAGACCGATGTTGCAAGAAACTGTTTGGATTACGATGTCTTTTTGAGAAAAAAGTTAATTTCTTCACTTGCTTGTATTTAAAATGGAACTTCTGAGATTGCATCATTATCAGTAAATGTATCACCAACTCTGGAGCTCCGAAAGAAAAGAGAACTGTTATCAAAGAGAAACAACTGACACAACAGTGCCTTTGAATTCTACTTTTACATCTCGGCTTCTGAGCCACACAGAATCGAATCAGAAAATCATTTTGTTGGAAAAGACCTTTCAGATCATCGAGTTGGACTAGTAGCTGCTAAAGAAAAAGTTGGAATCACAGACTTCATGTCTACCTCATGGAAAATCAATTCTGTATTTTTATTTGAATACTTTGGCTTCTAGCTAGCTGCCTGTAAGTCAGAAACGTGAGTAAAGGGTGGGAAAATTACTTTACATTAATTATTAATTACATTAATACCCGATAAGGTAAAACCAAAGCCTAAACATTTCTAAAAAGCCACTATTAATTAGCACAGTTAGTGTTTCCCAGCAGTTGAAGGGCACACACACTGTTTATTGTGGGATGGCTGAGCTCCCAGGGGACGGGCACCAGCACAGGGCCACCCCCGCCCCGCACCCGCGCTCATTTCTTACCAGTTCCCGCACAGCCGGGTTTCCGCCTCGCTCACCGCCGCGATGGCCATGGCTCCGTCCGGGGGCTGAACGAACGGCACCTCCTTTCCCTCAGCACCCGGGAGCGCCCGCACCCC